TTGTACGTATGAGTTTTGCTGCTTGCGCTGATGGTTGATTGCAGCTTTTTCGTGAAATTCTTAAATACCGCCGCTGATTTACATGATGAAATGCACCCTGGGCGCAGGAACAACTAGCAGAGTGACTAGGGTGTCGACGAAATGAGTCAAGACATTCGAAGCAGCGGCCTGCTAACCAACCAAACGAACAGCGCCCAGGTGTCCTGCACAATGAAAACATCTCGTTCAACACGACTTCTAGGCTTGATTGATTAGAAACCTACGATAGAAAAAATCCTGTTCGATGCGTAAATGTAAAATATTTAAGGGTCTATCTGAATGAACGTTTAGGGTGGATTGAGAAGGTTTCTTCAGTGTTCACCAACAAGCAGGGAAACATACTGCTTGCTCAGACTGTTGAAACCGTTAAGTACCATCATCATATGCGCATGGTTCACCGGAGATTGTTTAGTTAATCAGAAGAACACCATCAGGCCATCACGTTGACGAGTCAGAGGCCGAAACCCTGATGCAGCAGCTTGAGTTTTTATTTATTCTGGTCGGTTGTCCCCTTATGCCCTGTTTGCTTTGAGCAGTAGAGTCATAGAATGCGGTAGGACATCCACATTACTCTGATGTGATCAAGTACTTGTTTGTGAATCAGAGGTCACTATCGGCTTTTACGGAAGAGAGTTAATTTACTGACCCGTTAAACAATGGCAGTCTCTTCCTAGCCATTGAGCGTTTATGACTACCAGTCAGGATTTTATAGTAGACTGCCAGGACTTATTTGGTCAATCGTTTCAGGTTTCACGACAGGCCTTCACAGCTACCATAACAGCTAAAGGAGAATAAGACTCACCGTAATCAACTCTGCCGAGCAACTTCTTACTTTAATCTTTGTCCGCTCCATCCAGTAAGAGAGGATGGACAAGGAGTGTGTGACGACCACCGTCAGTACGGTCTGAGAGCAATAGAGTTCAGTTGTTCGTGTTTGATTGCCCGCTGCCGCAGGTCACATATAATGATCCAGCGAGTTTTGTCTGTCTCTGGAGAAAAAATTTACTATTTTGTGTCGAGTTGTCCTGCATATTTTTGGCATCGGCAAAATGGATCCGGCCATAAATATTGAACGGATCTCATCAACCGTCACTGATACATCCATGCGGTACGGTAAGTCGCAGCTGACGGACTCTAGCCCTCTGCTTCACATGAATATTCCCGATGTTTCTAAAAACTAGAGACACGGTTAACGTCTTCCGAAGTCGCATGGCGCTATGTTACTGGTCAGTCTTACCTTTTATTTCAGTGGAACTCATGGAGACTCAAAAACAAAAGAAACTTATGGCAAACAGCTCCACTGACGGTAATTAGGGCGTAAAAGATGTTTCTGCGCAGTGTTGCATGTTTTTAGTCGGGGAAAATCCCGTACTGTGCTGAATTTTGACTGTGTTGCACAAGCAAATAAACCCTCTTATTCTAGATGCAGTTTCTAATTACAGTTACCAGGAAAAGCATATTTCATCTTCGTCATCCTCCATCCCCGCTTCTCCTCCCGGGTCGCGGAGGCAGACACGTCAGACAGAGCATCCAACTTTCCCGATCCTGTGTCAGAGTCTGACCTTCGGCAAAAGACAAATGGAGTCTGCAACAGAGAGTCTCATATATTTGCACCAGGTTAATCTTCGCCGTGCGCTAGGCCTTCTGCCAGTCAGATTTGCAAGCAACTGTTGCTTAGCCTTCCTTTCTGGAGAAGCAAAGGCAGTATTCCAAGGCTGTTCCGGATATCAGTATTCCGGATCAGGTCGAAATGCAGCGAATCCGCTAAGAAAACCCATTTCAGCAGCTTGTACGCGGGTTCGAAGTTTTTCAGTGATGGTCTACGATTCATGACCATGGGTAAGTATGGGGATAAAGATCGACTTAAACACCGAGAGCTTAGTTTTCAGACTGAGCTCTGCTTTAGTCACAATGGTTCGGGCTAGTTCACGT